ACACGTATGAAATAAAAAGATTATCAATTATTGCAGAATGTTGATATATTCCTTGATTTCCAAATTCTATAGTAATTTTTATCATAAAATTCTCTAATAATACCGATAGAAAACGCGCAAGGGACATATTTAAAATGTCTGAGAGAATGTAGCCGTACGACGAGATAATTTAATCCTTTACAATCCAAAGAGTATTATACGAGTGACAAGATAATCACGTAGAAAAAGCATAAAAAATTCCTCCTCGTATGCGCATCGGGAGCAACGGCACTTCCGACACGTAGCATCCGTTTTTCCGTCACGTACTTCTGCTTTTAGATAGGCACGAGGTCGGCTCATAGTGACTCGTCGTCGTGCCTATTGATGGTAATCGAAGTGTATGAGGCATTCGCGAAAGACAGGCCGTATTGCGTGCGAAATCACAGATCTGCTCGGAGCACATGACCGCGCCTAAAAGCTGCTCATGTATTTATTCAGCGACCGCATACCTTCGTATGCGTTTGGCATTATTCTGCTCAGTCTGGAGATTGCGACACTCGGTCGGCCACAGGTGTATAATTTACGAATGTTGCTAAAAGACCATTATGTCTGAATACTTTCTAGACATTCTTGTAATCATATAAACTTCCTCCAGCATCTCGTTATTATATGTCAATACATCAAAATCGTTATTATATTTTATAAAACTAGACAATATGTTTACACACACAAATATACGCTAAGATCAGTGATCTCTATCTTGAAGAAATAGTTCCATAAGAAATCGATACGAATATATTGCGATAGGAAGCACGTCATGATATTCTCAGGCGAATAGAGCGAAAAGTTTCAGGCATTCTGTTTCAACTTTCTTTCGCGGCGCGAATGAAGGATAAGGCGAGATCGCGATATATAGATTTAGAGCGCGCAAATACAGCGTCTGGCATTAAACCAGGAACTATCGCGTGCGCGAGAGTATAAAGGCCCTCGGGCGCGTGAGACCCCTATAACAGGTCACTGCCATCGAGAGAAGCAAGCAGGTTCGAAGCACTGAATCCCTTTGCCAGAGAAGGGGAGCCTGTTTATCCGTATTGCGCTTACACGCACATACCGACACGCGCGCGGTACCATCTACGAATCGATGGATCTCGCATCTCGAGTCCGATAGAGACGGAGAGACGTTGCGCTCTCGTCGAAATCGCTCGAATTAAATTAAGGAAAAAAATAATTTGCTGCAGCAGCAAACTAATTTGCTACATATAGACAGTTAAATATAAATCGCTGTGTTAGCTACTTTTTTTTTGCTGCAGGAATCTATTTTCTTGCTATGATAATAAGAAAATCTGCTCTTACAGCAAGAAAAGTGGCTAACGTGGCAAATTTGTTACAGATGGACAACTAAACATAATTTACCTACTTTTTTTATTGCAGGAGCAGATTTTCTTGTTATCATAGCAAGGAAATTGACTCCTGCAGCAAAGGAAGAGTGGTTAATACAGCAAATTATATTTAATTGTCTACATGTAGCATATGTCCTTTTTTCCGTGCGCTTTTGTTCAGGTAGGACAATATAATAACAACAGAATATAACAATAATAATGATAATAATAATAGTAATGATATCGTTCTCCGTGAGAGTATAAGCACGTTCGTGTAGACTGGCGCGAGAGGCGATCGTTCGTTACTTTTGCATTCAAAGGACGCGGCAACAGTCGTGTCTGAGAATCCACTTTTAGAAGCGGCAAGCAAAGCGTCTTAACGCAACGGTAATCGAACTCGTGAATTACATTAAGCGCGAGTCACTTTATCACACGAGAACTCACGCGGTACCGTTTCCGACGCAGGCAACGGTAACGGTCACCCGGTATATATGGCCTCTTCCGAGGATGGAGCAATGTTCCGCGCGATTGCGGAGCTCATCAGCGGGAAAAGCGACGCAGCGACAATTCCACGCGTCTTAATCTCGGCTCGGGTCTTGCAAAACTGAGGCCGAGGGTGATTACGATTTGCGAAACTTCTCGGGAACTTCTCGCATTTCGTGGGGAAGAATTGCATGTAACAGCAGCTTCGAGGCACAAAGATCGCCGTGTAGACTGAAATACCTCTGAATCGTAATAAATAACAAAACACGAGCGAAATGAACACCTATAAATTGGAAATGTCGAAATGCGCTCGGTATTATGTCCCAGGCGAAAAGACTTTCACGAAATTACACTAACGCGCTTGTTGCACTTTCCTTCGTAAACCGCGAAGTATATCAATTTCTTCTGCGCGAGGCCGTTTCGTACACAGCATTTCTCCTCTTAACGCGAACATTGAAAGTCAATACGCAGACATTCCCAGCTACCATCATTTCGTTGTTTTTACATGTAAGCACATATTGCACGTTGCTAGGAGCACCTACGGAAAATGCATTAGAAATGCATCGCGGTCACACGCAGAGTCTAACAAATGACGGAGCTCATAACACTTTACATATCATTAATATAATTTGTCTAATTGGGGAATAACATTAGTTAATTTCGTGAAGCGTGTCTAATGTGATCCAATGATTATTCTGATATTTCAGTGAAATAATTCGAAAGAAGACGAAAGGCAAATCACGAAAGTCTAATCAAACAAGAAGATACGCAGAAGAAAGATCTGTTAATGTTATTAACGGGTGCGAGAGATTTCTACTCATTCGTAAAGGAACTTCTACTACTTCCTGCTTTGTTAACTACGAAAATAATTAATTATCCTAACCGGTTTATATGGCGAGCTTACGGATCCGGATTCAAATACTAGCCGTTTCTCATTCCGTGATAAGTTTTCGAAACTGTGCAAAAATTGCTAATTTATCCTTGCGATAAGCGTTGCACGCGAAGTGCACGCGAATTATTTTTTCATATATTTCTGCTGCGTCAAATTCCGATAGGAGAATATGTTTCTTTTTCGTTCGATGAGTACGAGATATGACGAACCCGCTATATCCGAGGTGTAAGCTGCGATGAAATGTAATACAGCCTGAGGTTATTATCTTTCTTGGGAGCCGGAGAGATTATTTCTTACGCCATGCTGGTCCGATTTTCACCTTGCGCACACATCCCGTGTGTGTCTTCGCAGGCTTCCCCGAATTCATTTTGCACAACTGAGTAACTTCTTTACGTAACTGCCAATGCTATCGGCGATATGAATCTGCGGAATAAATTAAACGTGGACGATACTATAAACGAGCCATCTCGTTTAAATAAGAATCTCAGTTGTGCAATTGGAAATCGAGATATATTATTCTGTGTGTCCTAACACGGGATGAAAGGAGATTATGCAATGAAAAATTTAAATTGCTTTCATCTTTATATTGCGCAAGAAAGAATCTTGCAAAGGTTTAAAAATTATATGAAGTGGCGTCTTATCTGATAATTGGACACATGATAGAAAGTAAATTTATCGAAAATTTGATTTTTTCTACTAAAAAAGGAAAGACGAGAGTGGATAATAGCCGGATAATAATACATTGCACATTCTGAAAATTAATATCAAATTGTCAATATCTAAGAATGCAATGCTCTTTTTTTTGAAAGTTTAGCGTCTTCAATCTCTTTCTCTCTTGTGAGATAAAATGACTATATCACATACTGCTTTTACACTTCCAAACTTGTTAATTTCTTTTGCTCTTCCTAACTTTAATTTAATTATGCTCTGTCTTGTATACATCTCTCTCTTCTAATTTCACACAGATAACACCATCCGAACAAAACAAAAAAATTATAAGTTAAGTTTAATCGCTCGTCATAGCGACTTCCAACAGATAAATAATATTCTTCAAATATTTATAAAACGAAATTTCTGTATGTTTAAACGGGATTTTCAGCCGTGCGACTTTGATCGATCGATAGAGGAAAATGAAAAATACGGAGACTTGTTGTTACGATTATTATTGATATCGTTATTATATCAATATTATTGTTATTATTGTTATTATTGTTGTTAGTGTGGCATCCGACGAATAACAATATAGTACGTACTCGGGATCGTCAAATTAGAAGTCGTTCTCACATTCGGAACTAGATAGACAAAAATGTTGAACATATTATGGAAAATATTAAATGCATACTTTGTGATGTTATTATAACAGCACAACATGCTTAAGACATGTTTGCTCTAAGAAATACGTATTTATTAGGCCATAATATTAATCAAAATAATTATTTTTCATTTCTACAGTAATTCCGGATCAATTGTATTCTCTTTCCGGCAAGATGAATAGTAATTTTCATGGCATCAGAATATTACTGCAATTTTACTACAATTTTTATGGCATCAAGTGACTTCACCTATACAGAGTATCCTAGAACAACCTCCGAAGCTCTCGTGAAGGCATAACATAGATTGAGCTAAACATAAAAGTCTTATACCGTTTTGTGATATCCGCAATAATTATCCAGACATTAATTAAAAAAATTTTGTGAGTGATCACGCGAGATATGGTAGATGAGTTGTAGTGACGACGTCTGCCATCGTGTGCTTGTATATTAGGTCGAACTGAACAAAAGAGTCCTCTTTCCTAATAACTTTGTAGATTTTTAATTCTTAACTAAAGAAGATTGGCGGGTAGTTACTCGCGATAATACATTAATATTCTTTAATTAATAACTAAAAATCTATAAATTCATTAGGAAAAAGATACAGAATTTTTAGCTCAGTTGAACGTATAAGTACACGACGGTAGATATCGCCACTACAGCTCATCTATCATATTTCACACGTGATCATTCCCAAATTTTCTTTAATTAATATCTCGATAATTATTGCGAATATGGCAAAACGGTATGGGAGTTTTATATTCACATTAATCCGTACTATGCCTCCGCGAGAACTTCTGAGATTGTTTTGAGATACTTTGTATAACAAAATTCTGACAAAATTCTTGTCTTACGAGGACGTATCTTTATGTATTTGTGCCAGTCACTAAGCAGACAATATGTCTATCTGGGTTTTATCAACGACATCCTGCGTTCGTATTTGACAACAATGATACATAAAACGGTACATAATTGTATTCATCTCGAAAGTGTAATACATATACAAGCTAATTTACTCTCGTTACATATACATACACAATCTCCAATTATGCCATTGACTGTTCAGTGAGAGGAGTGAACAAAACGACTCACAATGTCTGTAATTAAGTGATTAAGAGTCTGTCATTTGAGATTATCAAAGAAACACCTATTTTGCAATATTTCCTATTGATGAAGTTTACGTATGCGTGCCAATGATTAACAGTTGCATCAAAACTTCAACCCTGTGCAGTCTGTCGCAGTCTCTGTACAGAATGTAACTAACCAGAACGACAGCGAAAGATGACATTAGAAAACGGCGCTCCAAAATTGAGAAACGAAAGTTCTCATATCGCGATCCCCGACCTCCTCTCTCCATTCCTACTTTGTATTACGATAACGGAATCAAGGCTCACCACCAGTCGCAAACACACTGAACACACTGAACTGATCAAGGCGTGATACGAATAATGCGTGATAACGATGCGATATGTCGATTAATTAAATAATTCATTAATTAACAGGCTAATCCGTCAGTAAGGATGGAGCGCTGCTAGACCCAGTCTCGGCGGCTCGGCGTAGCTGTAGCGATATCTACCGAGCGCCGGGGCCATTTCCAACGCTGGTCTGGCACTTTCACGATCGAGTCCAGGATATCTTTCATGCTCCGACAACTCCTGGTAGGTTGTGCTCCTCGTGCGCAATTTTTCGCGAAGTTCCCGTGAGTGTTGCGTGCGTTGCTCGCGAAAATCTCTCATCTGCACAATGAGTAGTAAGTGACAGGTGAGGATATGATTTACACCGACAGTGCAAATCATAAACAATCTTACTTACTTCTCTTTGATCAACGGGATTCCTCTGGTCTCTGAAATCCCTACCAATCGGCAAGTCTTCGTAGAAGCTTCTAGGTCGTGGCTTTGAACTTTCCGTTTCGAGTGGACGTTCAATTGCGTAATGGTGAGTTCTGGGTCGCGGTCTGCCCTTGTATGACACGCCATTTTCGCGGTCCAACGCGTCTGTCTGATTTCGTCTGATCACATGCTCGTGCGAGGACATGGAGTTCATACTAGCCGGATATTGGCGGCTTGATCGGTCGTCGTGAGCTTGTCTGGCCGATTCAACCCTGTCAAATGACATTACAACTTTATAACATTACAATATAACAATCAGTTAATGACGAATCATAGATTTTACACGAAAAGCTTAAAAACATAATACTACTTCACAATTATCATTTTATAAATTGTCATTTTAACTTATTGAAATTGCAGAATATCTCCTTTTTTATAAAAAAAAGAGAATAAGGAATTACATGTGAAAGAAAGATTTCCTATTAAAAATTCCTAGAAATGTAGAATATCGACGCTAACTGTAATTTCCATTTCAATCGAACGTATCAATTTGTACTCTTATAAATCTCTCGTAGGAATGCGTTTGATCGGTGAAATTGTTCGTTACTCGCATCTCTCTCTAAACCTGTCCGAACGTGGAAAGCTGAACAGAACCATATACGTGCAAAACGAAACGCATGGTGACAACGCTCGACGTCGTGTTTAGATTTCTGAACCGATACTCTCGACAACGACACTGCATTCCGACTTTTACTTACAATCGGTTCATGCAGCTATCTGATCACCCGATAAACGCTTTGTGAGTTAGAATGCATTCGCAAACCAGCCTCTGTGAAATCGCTGGGAAATTTATCTTTTAGATAAAAGCTAAGTTTCATTGCGTATAAAAAGCACCAATGCCTAGGCACGTATCTTAAGATATCTTATTGTTCTGGTCTTTAAGTACGAATATCTAAAATATCTAAACAGACTCTGCTAATATTCAAATTAAAGTTAGAACTTTTAACAGATATTCACGGTTATCCAACGCAAACTGAAATATTATGGGAGAATAATAAATTTAAATCTCTCTCTCTCTCGAATAAAAAATATATAATTAACTGGAATAGGAAATGAGCATTGATATTATAAATATTAATTGGGATAAAGGGTCAGTTTGACGTGGGAGTCTGATTCGCCACATATGATAGACCGGAAAAACCGGTTGCGTGCGTTAAACACTGTCAAACATTATTATCTTCTCACATAAATTTCGGTTCGCACTAGACAACCTCGAATAGCTCTTAAAGGCTTTAATTCTCTCACTTTAGTACGACTATTTACTTTTCAACATAGATATATGTGGATATTTAATATATGTATATATTCTCTCTATATTAAAAATTAAGATACTCTATGTTGTAACAAAAATTTGAAAACATTTTTATTTGCAAAGTTTTTGGTATAACATGGGCTATTCCGCAATTCATTTGTACCTTCACTTTGTATAAACATTTGAAATTCTATATAACCATGTAAAAAAAAACTGCAGAACAATATGAAGCTGCATTACAACGATATTTAATATTTTCTTAAGACTTTTTATGTTAAAAGTTTAAATGTTCACGTTGAAAAACCAAAACAATAAAAATGTCCAGATTTGGGCATTGCTTCTTTTTACTTTAGTTCCTATATCGTTCAATAAGTGATTTTTTATTACGCGGGCCGAGGAAAGCAAGTAGCTCTCAACAGTGTCTATGAAACATTCGAAAGTCGTGAATTCTCTCTTTGACCAGCACATCATGCACATCAATTACTTTACACCAGTGACAGTCGTCGTTGTGACAAAATGAACATCCGAGCGAGCACCTGTGAACAGGATGATGCTCGATGTCTCTTTGCCTGGAGAGAACGGGTCTCGCGATGGCCTCCCTCTCCATAGCCCTAAACATTTCCTTGGCATCTTGGAACCTCTCTCTAGGACTGGTCACTTCGCTGGGATTGACCCTGGGCTGGTATTGAGGACTTGGCGATCGCTGTCTGAACTCTGCCGCTCTTCGATTCCTGTTGCAGCTCGGTGAAACTCCCCTGTTCACCTGATTGGGCAGTCTTTCCGGGCTCCGCGGTAGTCGCGGCAACGTCAGACTCGAAGCGGCCGTTTCCACTTCCGGCAGATAATCGTTCTCTTCGTTTGGCGCGCCCCAATCATCATCTAAAAAAAACAATTAACCCACAAATTAAAGACATTCTCTATCGCATCTAATTTATTTTACAAAATGCGAAAGGAAATACCCCGTGTATGAGAATTTTATCAAGTTAACTAGTCGTGCTTTATTAATTACGCACTGACAAGTATGTTCCTGACTATCTATTGTAACCACGTTCTATCTCTTCTCCTCTTACACAGTAAACATCACAATAGACGGCATCGTACACGACAAATTTCGCGACAAGTAGTCCTCCAATCGCCCCACTCCAAACGACCCGCGGTAAATCGGTCGGCGTAATTCTCGCGGAATCTGGCATCTCGATGAGGTCAGGAAGATTTAAAGAGAGGTAGCGGGCTACGGGGCAGGGGAGGAGGAGGAAGAGAAGGAGAGGGCACAGATGAGGTTCGCGGAGACACGAGGAGGAGGTTGAGAGGTGCCTCGGGCTGTGGGCCGAGAATGCGGAACTTTATTCTGTACGTGTGGCCTCCCACGAGGTCGACTCACGCACGAATTTACGAGTGCCCGCTTCGCTGCGCCGGTCGTCGCCGTCGTCGTCATCGTCGTCGTCGAGGCAGGGTCTCATCATCATCAGCATAACTGTCATTATCCGTCGCCGTAACAGCGACGACACGGGGCGCGCTCCCGGCCTCCGTTCTCTTGGCCGCGCGTGGAAACGCTCCTTCAGAGAAGTTCTTTGCGCAACGATCCGCCGTAAAAGCGGAGAGGCGAAGTGCCGTTACTGTATTAGGTAAGAATCGGAGGGTGAAGTTAATCGTTCGTGAAGAGGTTAATCCCCCCTCTTAGATGTCGTGAAATTTCGACGCGCCATCGATGTCACGTTTCGCGAGGTCACACGGGAGATGGCAATCGCTTACCTCATATTTAGCGACTTTTATCGCGCGTCTCGTTGTGGATTGTAATGAATTTGGAAAACGCTTTCTAGACGACGACACAATCTTTGTCCGTTTCATTTCCATAATATTGAGAATCGTCTATACACGATTCATAACGGTATATTCAGTTGAGATCTTAAAAATTCGTGTGCAATAAAGCATCGACAACCGTGTAATTGATTAACGCTACTACGAAGCGATAAGCCGATAGATCTAATCTTCGCTTGAAGTCTGAGTAGTGTTAGAATGGTCTCGCGCGAAATATAGCTACGTCATATGAGGCGATTACGGAGGCGAATCGTGAGTGTACGATAGGCACTAAGTATGTCATCTCTCTTTACATCGTGAGCAATTCTGGTGGAATCGTACGATGTGCTGTTCGCAACGTAATATGAGAGTGCCAAAATTACGATCGAACCTTAATCATCGCCAGACATCTGTCACATCTTCTTCAATAGTCAAGAGCGTAAATGCGTAACGGAAGAAACATATCTTCGTGTTTCTCTTGTTTTGTAGTTACAGTAATCTTTTTTCCTCTTTCTCTGTACAAATTTATATGATTTATAAATTAATATATAAAATTTTCCCACAAAAAATGATGCACAGAGAAAAATCCTAATAACTGAGCAATAGCAAATTTGTTTTAAGTTCGGTAAGTGAATTCTTTATAAATTTATAACTATTAAACATGAATCTAAGCAAAAAATATTTTCATCAGGTTAAAATTTCGAGAAACCTGTCGTAAAAGATGTTGAAAAATCCATTTTTTGTACTTTTCAATAATTTATATTTTTGCACTGGGAAAAGAGGGAAAATGTACTAGAGACTTTTTGTAAGGTCAAATTAAAAGTTAAGGTCAAATTAAAACTACTCAACATTAAAAAAATAAACAAAGAAGCAAAGCAAAAAACAAAGCAAGTTAAAGATTTAAATTGTATTAATCAAGGAAATTAATGGTTCTTTAATCTCCTAATTTTATTTTCCAATTTTCTCCATTGAATTTTAAAGTTCAGAGTTCAAAGTTACTCGTCTTTCACTATTTGAACTGTTTTTTGGAGTGAATTACCCCAAAATGCAGTGGAAAAAATTAGAAGATATATAGAACAATAAAGGATTGTTAATTTCTTTGGTTAATACATTTTGTGCAAGACCTTTAAGATACTTGTATTTGCTAGAAATGTGCGAACTATTCGAGTCCGAATAATTCTAAAATTTCGAATCGAAAATATTCAAATACGGATCGCGGATATTAGCATTAACGAAGAACTATTAAAGACATCCAGCCTTACGACAATTAGCATGACTGGAAAAGTTTGCTATACATTAAGATTTTCTTCAAAAATATTAAAAGAAGATAATGATTTCTAGACAAACCTCTCTTTCTGACAACTGTTGGATCGATATGCGTCGTTGCGCAGCTTTCAAGACTGAAACTGTATTCCATACACGTTTACCAACTATATATTATATAACTCTTATCTTAAAATGAATTGATATCACATAATCAATGTTATCTCTCTCATACTGAAGTCACTATTTTCATGTTGAATTGAATGTTTATGTTAATTAAAAATTCTTTTAACGATTCGATTGGATTTCATTCGATTTGATTCGATTCGGGTGAAATTCCATCAATTCGATTCGATTCGATATTAAAAATCTTTGATTCGCACATCTCTAATATTCGCTTATTTTTTAATGTAAAATATTTGCTTAATTTTTAATTTGAGATTTTACGAAAATCTTCGATACATCCAACCAGTCTATAAATTGTTAGAAAGTATAAAAATGTGTTTTTCAGCACTTTTCACGGCACGTTCCTCGAAATCTTGTGACATAATAGAGACATGTCCAGATTTGTGTTCGACAACCGCAACTCTACAAGAAAATGTCAGATCTTAAGACAAGAAGATAATAATTTTTTGTTTAGTGTAATCTTTAGCTGTTGATAATTATTAGGTACGCTGAGAGAAATTACCCGATAAAAAATTAACAAACGTATCAACATTCCGATCAAAATACCGATGAATTTTTATATCCGATCAATCGAATACTTCATCGATCATAATGGCATTTCATCAGATAAACCAATCAAAAAATTATGAACCAATATTTCTCATCGGATGTTTCCTGATCGGATACAAAAGTTTATCAGTATTTTAATCGAAAATATACGTTTGTTAATTTCTTATCAAATAATTTCTCTCAATGATACTTATACATTGTTGAGTGTTAATAAGAAAATTGGGGTGAGATTCGTGAACAGCCTTCCCAGACGGGCGATACTGATATACATTGAGATGATCCTTTGCGGTGATGCGTGTATATGTGATTGTTATCGCATCAGGTCGAAAATATAATTGCACCTCAATTCGCAGCTGTCTCCGCAGCTCCCGCAGCTTGGAGAAGCTCTCAACGTGCGTCAGTTGACACAAACAAAATCTTTCCTGTCTCATTTCGTTACTCGTAACAATCGATTTTAATGTACTTCCAATCACTCGATCGATAAGGCTCATCGTGAAACCTCAGTAACTTCTACGCCCTACTTATTAACCAGTGTCAATGTGTCGATCAACAAGTGACAGCATCTAATGATCCGACAGTCGGATGTGTGATTGCTCTGATAATACATTCGATTTCAAGACATCATCGAGCGTGATGTGTTGTCGATTATATCGCTGCCTGGAGATTAGCTTCCTGGAAGTAGATATTTGAAATCAATTCCGAATATTCGCGAAATCCGTCATGAAGCTGTCGCTCAATTCCTACGAGGCAGCTGTTCAATATCCGCACGAGGATCGACGGTGCGTGCAAATCGGGTACCGGCTGGTTTTCGCGGCCGTGCATAGGCCCTGGAGTCAGCCGAGATACGTATATCCATAAGCCGTGGTACCTGCCGCTGACACGACGTCCTAACGGTATTCCTTCCACTGTAACAGGTGCTCAATACAATCTCTCTCTCTCTCTCTCTCTCTCTCTCTCTCTCTCTCTCTCTCGGACGAGCTTAATGCCGGAGAGCCGAATATATCTACCGGTGTCGACCACGAGGGTACCGGATCTTTCTTTCTTCTTTTTTTCCTTCCTCTCCATCATCTTGAAATTTATTCAGCGCCGGTATATGGGTCAGTCGTCCGTTAAAAACATGTTTCTCGCGAGAGAAGAAGAAGGCACGGCCCAGAAGACGAGCGCACAAACCGAAAGGCGAATGTGAGCTCAATGCGGCCTCGAAGACATCGATATGTACGCGTATCGCGCGCACACCTAATGCTGCACATCGCTGCTATCGAGAATCTCTCTGTATCGAAATCCCGTGTCGCTTTGCACAAAAGGTACAAGGTAAGTAGGATGCCTTCGTTCACGATAATAAAGCATTTACTATGCGCCACCTATCCCTACTTTTGCGTCCTCGTTCTCGGGAGATATCTAAAAAGAGTGTATTGCAAATAAAATAAATCTCTCTTAATCGGATCGGGAGCTTTCATTGTGAAGGACTTTTTCTTCGTCAGATATAAGGAATTACGGTTTGTCATCTGTGGTCGAACATCTTACTCGGGTAACCGCAGAAAGACTCGGATCAGGTTAGAAGAAAAATCTAAACAGCAGATGGGATCCGTTCAGCCCAAAGAAAAGAACACTAATTGCAAGGTGCTGTTTCCCGTAATTCTATATTCTAAGTAAAACTTTTACCGGAAGAGTACTCTTCTTTTAATGAAGCGGACTATTAATCGGAAATCTATTAGGTATTATTATTATTATTTTAACTTTTTTCTTTTTGAGTCAAGAAAAATATTTACTTGAGATAAAATGCGCAAAATGAGAGAAGCAAAACTTGTATACAAAAAATTAAATTCTTCTAATCTTAAGAATATTTTACTTCTGTTTTGGAAAAATTCTTCTGAGTACAGAGTACTCAAGCTGATGAACACCAATAAGCTCTTATTTGCGATTATCTGACAATGCTCGTGTGCAAGTATAGATTAGGTCAAACTCAACACAAAATTCCTCTATTATTTTACAAATAATCACGCACGCTCGCACGCACGCGCGCGCGCACACACACACACACACACACAATTTTGGGTTATTAATTCAAGAAGATTGATAAACGA